AGGATACTCTAGCCCAGGGTCCAGTGTAAGAGTGGGTGAATTGCAAAAGTCCACCCCAGCATGGATAAAGGCCTGACATGTGAGGGAGTCCACTTGAGAGAGACCAGAGGAGGGACAGACGTGCAGCCTGTCCTGTAATCTGACCATACGCATCCAGTAGCCTACATATCAAATCCCTTCTATGTTCAGTCCTAGTGAGTCCTGTCTCTTCTCTACAAGGGTCACTGCAAACACCCTTTGCCACAAAGAGAAATTCATGAAGCAGAACCTCACAAACAACCCTTTGTAGAAAAGACCACAACATCTGAAGGGGTTGTACACCACCAGCAGCTACAGTTCTAGCCTCTCCCTACCACTTTGCCCACAACATAGCAGTAACGAAAAAAAGGAATGAGGAAGACAGGTGAATGGGGATTCAATGCTCAAATGAGATTCCTTCTTACTCAGTAATAGAATAGTTTACCTCCCACCCTCCACATGCTGCTGGTTCCATGAAGAACTCACTTGCATATTAACCTGTCCAGATTTCAATCAATTTGGTTTAGCCAATTCTTTTTAAAATTAAGAGGGAAGGCCACAGTAAAAACACAGATAGAGAACAGACTAGAGGAACCCTCCTCACAAGATACAGAAGGAAGCCACATGAGTGACAAAGTGCTTGAGGTTCAAAACCAGTGCTGCTAACATTACAGTACAACCTTACAGAAGGTGCTGCCCAGTTAAATGCCTACATACAGCAGTACTAGGTGAATCTCAAAGCCTAAGAGATGTAGATCTTGCTCAGGGTAAAACAATGGGAGTTCTTGCTTGGGATCTGACAGCATGATGAGGCTATTAGAGGCACTAGGCTTTGGATAAGATATTAAACTAAGGTGATACTGAAGATCCCACAGCATTTTATCTAAAGAAAGGGGACACATGCCCTACCTACATTTCCTCTCTCATAAAACAGTATCTAATGTGTATATCTGTCTGCGAGTCATTGCTGAAAAAACAGTGGTTGCCTGGTTTGCCTATACAGTCACCACAATACCAGTAACTACTGCATTCACCTTGAGAATGAAAGGTGCTATAAGGAAACCAATTTTTATTCTATGAATGCAGCTTTGTGTGCATTTATCAACCCCAGACTCAAATCTGTCAACCATTGTGTAAGAATTATGATGGTTTAAGCAGATTGTCAATCTAACATGTGGGATCTTTCTTTGGGCTTCAATGAGATGACATATGGAAACATGCATTTAGACAGGGTCCATGTGAGTAGCTTTGGCTCTCTAGAAAGACTCAGACCAAACTCTGAGCTCCTGTCTCATTGTTTAAAGTACAACCTGTCATTAACCAGGAAACTGACATAACACTTGTCACATACACTGACGCTTTGTCTAATAGTTTTGCACAGTTCTCACATTTCATTCATCCAAAAAACCAATCTCCACAAACTTTTTGAGCACTCAGCAAAGGAGCCTGTTATGTTCTGAAAGCTGCATAACTTGTTCACTTTGTTCTTCGTTGCATTCCCAGCAAAAGGCCTCATTAGCCTTGTCTCCTTTGATGCATTTAACTCGCCTTTCCCTCCCCCTCACATGCTTTGAGGTCCTGCCAACTTTGTCAGAGACAATGCGCAGGGAAAAAACATGTATTCAATTAAATTACAAAATGAAGGAGTAGCTTGCATGAGCAGGGTGAATGCAGCGAGGCTGTCTAAGCACAAGGGTAGGTTGGGGGTGTGGTGGTAACAGCCTAAGCAGAAGAGCAATGATTTAGAGAGACATATTGCAACCAAATGAATGGGCTGGGGAAGACCATCTTTTGGTGGTAATAAGAATAAAACCCTGCAGATCTCTAGCACCTTTCTTGGTCAAAGAACTTTACAGCTATTAATGAATTAAGGATAAAAACTCCTCTCAGTGTTATGTATTATTATCCCCATTTTACAGGCAGGCACAGCATTGGGAAATTAAAGAATTTGACTATGGTCATAAAGCAAGTCTGTAGCAGAGATAGGAATAGACCTCAGGAGTCCCAGCTACAAGTCCCCTGCTCTAGCCACTAGCCAACATCCCACAAGGGTTAAAGGGACAATATTGATTTCCCACACTGATTAACAAACTCCAGGCTATAAGTTGTCCCCTTAGGAGCATCACAGGGGTTTAGTAAAAAACATCTTAGAGACTAACAAATTTATTTGGGCATAAGCTTTTGTGGGCTAGAACCCACTTCATCAGATGTACGAAGTAAAAAATACAGGAGCAGGTATAAGTACATGAAAGGATGGGCGTGCTTTACCAAGTGTTGGGTCAGTCTAACGAGATAAATCAATTAATAGCAGGATACCAAGAGAGGAAAAATAACTTTTGAAGTGGTGAGAGAGTGGGTAAGCCCTGAATGACTGAAGATCCCAATTAGCTGGACTTCAGATTGTCCCCTTATACCTTCAGAAAATTGGATTTTACCTGTAATAAACTTTAACACTGTAATACACCTCTACCCCGATATAACATGACCCGATATAACACGAATTCGGATATAACGCAGTAAAGCAGTGCTCCGGGGGTGGGGAGCTGTGCACTCTGGCGGATCAAAGCAAGTTTGATATAACGCGGTTTCACCTATAACGCGGTAAGATTTTTTGGCTCCCGAGGACAGCATTATATCAGGGTAGAGGTGTAGTACCAAGAGAAATGTTTTCATTGTTTTAAATACAATCAGCATAGGGGAAATGTAACAGAACTGGGCAAATACAGCAGAAAACATGTTAAGGCATGGAAATCCACAGTTAAGGCATCCTTAATTCAGTCATCACATCCCCATGAAATAACCATAGAGTTACGACTGATGTATTCCAGTGTTTGTGGCCCACATCCTCAACAGTATTTAGGCAACTAAATCCTATTGAAGTCAGTGGGAGTCAGGCTCCTTAATACCACTGAGCATCTGGGCCTACAATCCAAGATTAAAGTACGCTGATTTTTTGTCATTACAGGGAAGAATCACGTTTTTGTGTGTCTTATCTCAAACTTAATATGAAAAAAGGTGTCTTTAGAAGTCAGTTTAATTTAATCTGGGACTATAAATATTAGTATGGATTGCATCACTATAGGTAGGGCCCTTCATTTTCAGTTTTATTTTATTTTATGTTTCCTGAGACTTTATCACTGTTTATTACCACAACAAAAACAGGTGAAAATCAGTGCAAAAATTATTAATTTTTCTGGGTAAAACAGGGATTTATTTTGGTGGATGGAAAGACAGGGGAAAAAAGTATTCAGTAGATTAATGCTTTGAATTCCGTTCATCAATGTGGTTTGCTGCAGAACCAAAACAGAAATCAAAACACGCCACCTTTGAGTTTAAGAAAACAATACATCTCTAATCAAATAAAACTTATTTGAATAAACAGTTTACTGTTGTAGACTTAGAACTATCAGCCTATAAATATTTACATTTGGGCCACACCATTTGTAGCACACACGCTCAACTTCATCCTTTTCTCCCGTTTGTTTTTTCTTTAAAGTTTTGAATACTTCGTAGTGTTCTGAAATATATTGATACAGATTTTTGTTTTCTTCCCATTTTAGTGTGTCAAAAATTTAAACCTGTTATCTGCTAACAGCTTGAATGTGTACATGAGATTCATCAGTATGTTCAGATGCACACACTTCAGAGCTTGCGTGTGTGCCTGTGTATATCTTCTAGACTCATACATAGCCTTACTTCAACAGGCAGCTTTGCATATACACACACACACACACAGACTAATGTATTATCATAATACATATATCTCATACAATGTATTGTATTTTCCTAATAAAACAAGTTATTTTTATACGTTTGAATGATAAAAAAAAAGTAGGGTGAAAATCAGAAAAAAACTGAATAATAACATTTTTTGTAAAACCTGGCAATTTTTTGGTAAAAATTGGTTTAAACTGAAAACGAAGGGGCTTAACTATAGGGAAGAGTTAAAGTGGCTTGGGTGCCTTAAATGTGCTTTTCCATATCAACTCTGAATTTCATGTGTTGTAATGCTTGTTTTGTTACACCATCTCTAATGTTTTTACCCTTACATTTATCTGAATTCTCAATCTTAACTTCATTTTAAGAGGGTTTGCTGGGGGGGGGGGGTTGGTCTGAGAATGTGTGCGCACATATGTACACAAATACTTACCCCATTTTTAAAAAATTAAACATTTTTATGTGCACAAGGAACAAAAAACAGGTGGCCTTCACACTTCACTCCACTGCAACATAAAAGAATATGAGAGTTTGAGCTTTTGATCAGTACTTGAACCAAGTTTCACACATGGACAGCCAAACCCCCCTTACATTTTCAGTGGCAGCGTTGTCCATGGCACGAGAGAGGTTGCACAGACCACACACGGTGCCATCCAGAGCTCAGTGGTCTTTTCGGTGCATGCAGGAGGCACTGAATTGAGCGGCAGGCAGGCAATGCAAAACACCAGCTGCTGCCCAGCTCCCTTAGCCTTAAATGTCCTTTTGTCTTGAAGGGCAAAAAAAACCAGGGCATTAAATGCAATAACGCTGCGTTAACGTTACAAAGGAAGGCTCCAGACCTACTGCTGGTGGGGTCAGTGCTGAGGCTACCATAAGCTTCGCCTGCCTTCAAGGGGAGTAACGCCGAGGCCAGGGCTAGGCCCCTCCTCACACGCCCTCCCGCCAATTTCCCATCTCTCCGCCGGCCCAGCCGTACGCATGCGCGTTGCCGGCGGGACGGATCATACCATTCCTCTGCGGTGCGTGTGGGTGTTGGAGGTGGGGAAGAAATCCCAGATTTGCTACCGTCCTCGCCCGGAGGCACCGCTCCGCACATCCCGAGCGAGGGACAGGGAGGCCTGTGTGATCTCTGCTCTACGCGGTTCCAAACAGGCCAAGTTCTCGGCGTTGGCTCTTTCCAGTCTATTTCCAGCTCGCCCCCCCCCCCGAGGGAGGAATGGTTCGCCCAGAGGCCGGGCTCTGCCTCTGAGGACCGGGGGCCGCCATTTTGTCAGCAGCGGCTGCAGGAAAGGAAGGTGGAGGTGCCCGGAGCCTCCTCGCCCCGTGTAAGGCCCCCCTGGCCCGGTGAGCAGAGCGCGGCGGAGAGCTAGAGGCTCAGGCGTCTCGGGTCCCAACCGCGACTGGGTCCTGCCTGAGCGGGCCGGGGGGAGCTAGGCCCAGCCTGGAGCTCGAGAGAGGCGGGCGCGCGCGGGGGGGGGCTCGGTGGTGAGGCCTAGCGCGCGGGGTGGGGGGTTTATAAGCTAGGCCTCATTTAGGCGCAGCCTATCGGTTAGGCATGTGGTCTGGTCCTCACGCCCGTCTCCCGGAAATGGTTTGGTCCTGACTCCCTTCTTCCCTTTCCCTGTGATCTGACCTCTGCTCCCCCGTTCCCAGACTCCCTCTCCCCGGGATGATCTGGACATTCACCTCCCTCCTTGGAAATGGTTTGGTCCTGGCCCTCGCATGGTCTGATCTCTGCTCCCCCACTCCAGTATGGTCTGGTCCTTGGCTTTCCCCCCTTTTTTCTCCTCCCAGCAATACCAGTTGGTTGGGTTCTTTCCCTCCGCCCCGTCCTACACAGGCTTGGCCCTTGCCCCATCGCCTCAGTTGGGGTGATTGGTGAGATCATTGCAGATTGTAAACAAATCCTCTTTCTTTCCTAGTTTTAAATAACTTTGTTCATAACCCCTCCTGTCCAGGCACTACCCATAAATGTCACTTTATATGTCTGTTGTTAGAACATAACACAACACTTGAAGCTTAGAGAAGATCAAATGCAACATCTCTTGGTAGGTTATTAGTGCCTAGGAAGAAAAGCATTGTCGGTGTTTTACAGAGAAACAAACTGATTTATTATGAGATTAAAAATGAATAAAATGAGAGAGTAAAAAATTGCTGATGCCCCCCCTTTTTTTTAAATCCATTAGTAAAATCCAGCAAAGATGTCTGAATACATCCGCGTTACTGAGGATGAGAACGATGAGCCCATTGAGATCCCTTCAGAGGATGATGGCACTGTGCTGCTATCCACAGTTACTGCCCAGTTCCCTGGAGCATGTGGTCTGCGTTACAGGAACCCAGTGTCTCAGTGTATGAGAGGAGTCCGGCTAGTGGAAGGAATTCTCCATGCTCCAGATGCTGGCTGGGGAAATCTGGTCTATGTTGTTAATTATCCCAAAGGTCTGTCTTTGTTCCATGAATTTTTGGTACAACCATACTTTCTTAATTACAAGGAATTTTACATCAAGATCTATAGATTCCTTAGTTTTTATGTTTTCCTCTTAACTTACTATCAAACCATAGCAGCAACTGCAAATAAGTCTTTTTCACTTAAAGTGTGTGCCTGGCCCACAAAGTGAATTTCAGAGCGTTCCCTGTTATTTAGCACCATAATTGTACAAGATACTTTACAAATAAGACTTTGTCTTACAGTTTGTAAGGCATTTAACAATCTTATACAGATACCTTCCAAAGGTCCAATCCTACAGTGAGCGCCGTGCAGGGCTGAGGTTTGCCCATGTGACACTTTTTGCATGATCTGGGCCAAAGACATCAGTTTTGTAGGGGAGGGTGTGGGAAAGGCGAAGGATGAAAAGGAAAGGGAAAAGTAAGGAGAGCACTTTTCCTTTTTCATTGAGTAGCCATTGTCTCAAACTATATATAATATACACAAGCTCTGGTCAGGCACCTGAATGTTATTTGGCAGTACTTCAGTGGAAAACAAGCTGAAAGTGTGTTTTTAGATGAGTTTGAATCTGCCTGTTTTCTGCACTCCTCTCCCTGATATTGTAGGGCAGTTGTATGCGGATTATAACATATATGCAGCAAATAGTATGTATCTGGAAGAGTCCCAGTTCTTAGCTTCCACAATACATCCTGCAAAAAAGAATCTAATCCTTGTGCTATGCTACTTCTGACCAATGGAAGTAGCTTTCCTTTCCTTTGATGTAATGTGGAGATGACAGTTTCTGATGTACATGTTTACATTCAGATAACAAGAGGAAAATGGATGAAACAGATGCCTCATCAGCTGTGAAAGTAAAACGAGCAGTACAAAAGACATCTGATTTAATAGTTTTGGGTCTTCCCTGGAAAACCACTGAACAAGATCTAAAGGAATATTTCAGTACATTTGGAGAAGTTCTCATGGTGCAGGTAAATTTCTGTTGTTACTTGACTCTACTTGAGTCAAAAGCTATGAATTCAGATGGAAGTTTTTCTGCATGAGCCAGTACAAGGCAAAAAGGGCAGTATAAATTTAAGAGCACACTTTTAACTGTTGTAACATTAAAATTTGCTTTATACTATTTGCTTTGCAGTATGCTATTTTTTCTTGGAGATATCTTGGTATGTGTTCAGGTCTTTGACCCATGTCAAGACTGATTTCTCAAAAGGGGATGATTCTGATGTTACACTAGTGTAAACAAGGCATTATGTGGCCCATTGTGTGGTGTTTGGTTTTTGTGCTTGCATATTAGTTTATTGGTATGGGGGTAGTTGTAGCATTTGTGAAGACTTACTTTTTACAGTTCTTGTTTGAATTTGAAACTTAACTTTAACAATAAGTTTGAGTTTAGGTTTAAGGATGTTTTATATTGATATTGGATTAGCATTTTGCCACGATGCATCAAACCCATGCTCTTTTGAACATTGTTTGCTATAATGGTAATTCACAGCCTGATTTTGTAAGTATGAAACTGTCAAATGCTTTTGTGTATTGTCATTGATAGTACCAGTGGCCATTTCATGAGGGATATAGAAGCCTCATTAAATTAGGATCAAAACTTTTCACATTGCACTCTTTTAATCATGCTTTGATAATCCTAGCATTCCTTTTGATCTAGGAAAAGACTACTAATTAGCAGCTAGTTGCAGCTAGTCTAAGAATACCAGTGCATATTACTGCTTCAGTATTTCAGCTATCTAGATCATCTTTTTCTCTCCTTTCCCCTTAGGTTAAGAAAGACATTAAGACTGGTCACTCAAAGGGTTTTGGTTTTGTTCGATTTACGGAGTATGAAACCCAGGTGAAAGTGATGTCCCAACGACACATGATAGATGGAAGATGGTGTGACTGTAAACTTCCTAATTCTAAGGTATTGTTCCTTAAATTATTTTAGTGTTTGTAGAAACAAAACAGGCACTCTTTTAAAGAATCCTGTTGAGTGAAAAGGGGATTAGATATATGGGCAAACAAAGGGAGAGGGGGACTTTAACAGGATCCTTGAGGCAGGTGAGAAGACAAAAAGAAGGAGTGGAGCCTGGAGGTTAGGTGAAGGAACAGTGGGATGGGGGTTTGAGAAAACTATTAAGCACAGGGAAGATATCCAGTCTGAAAACTACAGAAACCAGCATGCTGACATCATAAATGTCTAGCAGCCCCTACGTCAGATACTGTCCACATTTTGCAGAAGGGAGGAAAGTGAGGCACAGAGGATAGGTAGGTAACTTGCCCAAGGCCAGACTGGGTCAGTGGCAGAGCTGGGATCAGAATCCAACACTTTTGACTATGCATATTTCCTCACTATATATATATTCAACTGAAGGATTTAAAGCACAAGGAATGCTCTGCTGCCTACCTAACCAGTCCTCATTTGCCATCACTTTTCAATTCTCATCTCCTTCCCACTCTCCATTTTTCACATATATCCCCCTGGCACCACGCCTAGGAGATGCCCCTTGAGCAAGATGTTCTAAACAAATCTCCAATCATCAGAAGAGCTTTAGATTATGGGTGGTAGATATGGCTGTGGTCAGTATATACTGGTGTTTCCACCATTGTCAGCACTACTGGAACTGCACCACTACAGGAGCAAAGATAGGAGATTTCCCTACAACTTCTAGTGCAAAGGTCCTAGGGGGTAAGATTGCTTCCATCTACTCAGGAATTCCAAGTTCATCCTTACAGTCTTCCTCTCAGGTGGTACAGTTTTTAATTACATTATCTTGGGTAGAGTGGAGAGCAATTGGAGGGTTGCTTTTCTTTAGATCTTCCTATAGCTGTGATAAACCCCCATAACCTGATTAATAGTTTATGAAGTTCTCTATCACAAAAGAAACTACGTTGTATTTGGTATTCAGAAGGATGATTGCAGTGTTTTGGTCAATATTTCTTTTTCTGCAATTCTACCCAGCAAAGTCCCGATGAACCTTTGCGTAGCAGAAAGGTGTTCGTTGGGCGCTGCACTGAGGATATGACTGCAGATGAGCTCCGGCAGTTCTTTTCTCAGTATGGAGAAGTGGTAGATGTCTTCATCCCCAAACCCTTCAGAGCTTTTGCTTTTGTTACATTTGCAGATGATCAGGTATTTATTTAAAATATTTTAGCCCCTGACATTTAGGAAACGGTTTCCTAAGTCTTTTCAATATCTCTCTTTACCATTCTGACTATAAATGTTGACAAACACTGTCACTTAGCATGTAATTATTGGAATTGAATGTACAGCGCTTGTTTTTGTCATTGCAATTTGAGAATTTCAGTTGTACTTTGAATTTCTATTGAATTACATCAATATACTTACAGTTCATGTCTACAGATTCACACTTTTCAGCTGGTATTGTGTATATGGATCTTCACACTAGACGAAGTAACTTAAGTTTATTCAGTAAAGTTAAAGGATCTTGTTTTTAGTTTGTGTCAAATCTTCACACACCCTTCCTTTACAGTTTACACTTGTATTCAGAATCATGTGGTTTGTCTTGTTATGTTGTAACAAGTACTTTAAAAATGGTCTAATTCTATATTTATTTACATCCCTTATTTCTTATAGGTTGCCCAGTCTCTTTGTGGAGAGGACTTGATCATTAAAGGAATCAGCGTACATATATCCAATGCTGAACCTAAGCACAATAGCAATAGACAGTTAGAAAGAGGTGGAAGATTTGGTGGTAATCCAGGAGGCTTTGGGAATCAGGGTGGATTTGGTAATAGTAGGGGGGGAGGAGGTGGTTTGGGGAACAACCAGGGCAGTAATATGGGTGGAGGGATGAATTTTGGAGCATTTAGTATCAACCCTGCTATGATGGCGGCAGCCCAGGCAGCATTGCAGAGCAGCTGGGGAATGATGGGCATGTTAGCTAGTCAACAGAACCAGTCTGGGCCATCGGGAAACAACCAACCTCAAGGCAACATGCAAAGGGAGCAGAACCAGGGTTTTAGTTCAGGAAGTAATTCTTACGGAGGATCTAACTCTGGAGCAGCAATAGGTTGGGGGTCAGCATCAAATGCAGGATCAAGCAGTGGGTTTAATGGAGGCTTTGGTTCAAGTATGGATTCCAAATCATCAGGCTGGGGAATGTAGACAGTGGGCTCTGATACTGACTCTATGGTGGGAAATCAATTTTTTCTAAACTCATGGTAAGTATATTGTAAATTGCATATATACTAAAATTTTCCTGATCAATTTGTTCAATGTGCAGTATATTCAACAGTATTTTTGACATTTTTCTTTTGTAAAAAGAAAGGTTAAAGGAATTTTATAAGTTTTGTTACATAATTTGTTGGAATATTGAATGATTGAAAGTGAACTGCTGTTTGCCTGATGGGTAAACTAACACACTACAATTGAGAGGAAGGGTTTCTCCTGTAATATTTTATTCCTTGTCAGCTGAATTCTTTGCATGTTCAAAAAGGAAACCATTGGTCAGAAACTACATTCTTTCTTTTCCTCTTGTTTGTTTTAATTTGATCCCCACCATAAGAATCTCTCCAAATGCCCCAGTTGGAGAACAGTGTCGGTGTTGTGTTTTGTTTGTTTGTTTTTTTTCCTTTTAACACTGTCTCCCCTCATATACTAAGTACAATATGAAGGCTTCATTTAATCTCTGCAGTTCATCTCATTTCAAATGTGTATGGAAGAAGCACTTAATTGAAAGCAGTGCTGTAAATATTCTGCTTTAGGAATACTTCTGTCTACATGCTTTCTCATCCAAGAATACTTCATCACACTGCACATGCTACGTCTTAGACGGTGGGTGTTCCATTTTTATCCGCTACTCTTTATTTCATGGAATCGTATCAACGCTATGAACGCAAGGCTGTGAGATGGAACCAGAAGGCTGTTTGAACTTTTGAAACCTTGTGTGGGATTGATGGTGGTGCCGAGGCATGAGAGGGCTGGTATGTGCGAGAAAAAGGAGAGAGCGCATGCAGAGACCTGGTGGTGCATTATGGGATTTTATTTTACTTGGCGAGATGTCTCTCAATCCTGTGGCTTTGGTGAGAGAGTGTGCAGAGAGCAATGATAGCAAATAAAGTACGAGTGTTTTTTGCATTCAAAGGACATCCATATCTGGAAGACTAAATGGGTTTTATACCTAGTTAACCAATTAGTTGAATGTGTTAAGTGAAATGAATATCTGTATTTTTTTTCCCTTATGTCAACTGCTGTGAATGTTGTATGGTGTGTGTTCTTTTCTGTTAATGATATGTAAGTGTGGTAATGTGAATCGAAGATGATGGGGTTTGTGACGAGAACATTGAGTTTGTGGTGTGCTTTGCGGTAGTTGTAGCAGAGTTCACTAGCGAGCTCAGTGTGCCTCTTAAGGGTGGAAGTTCCACTGTCTGTAAGATATCCATAAGAATGCTGTTTGCTGCAGTTCTGTGTTTGGATGCTTTTTATAAGATTTGTCAATGTAGGAAATTCTTAAATAAAACTGATTTAAGTAATATGTGTCTTTGTTTTGCAGCCCTGAATGCAAAGAATTCATAACAGTTAATTTATTTTGTCCTTTGAGATGAACTTCCGTAAAGTTGTTTTTGCAGTAATTCAGTTTGTTTCAGATAAGCATGCTTTAAAAGTTGACAAGTCAAATGGATCCATCACTCTTCATGCATTGATACCTGACACCCAACTTGTCTATTTTTGCATTGTTCTGAGATACATATCTAAAATCCAGTTCTCACAAGGTTGAGTGCTCTCACCTAAAATGGTAAGCCATTCCCTCCAGCTTGCATCCTCACCAAGGAAGCTCCTGCTTGTTTTTAGCAATGAGGGTGGATTTTATTTTTTTTTTTGGAGTTGGGGAGAAGGGGCGATGGGGAAAGTAGCTAACACATATACCTGTCAGTAGATTTGCTGCTCTTAAATATATTGTCCAAAGCAGCTCCTTTGAGGATGAGAATGTAAAGCAAAATAAATATTGTAGGCTGCTTTAAATCAGCCTGCTGATTGGGAACAAAAGGGGAAATATTCCCACTCTAATTTGAGCACAGAAGAAACTGTAAACTTGTGGCTAAAATAAAATATTAGCTCATGATGAAGAATATCCACCTGAAGAAAGTATTGATGAATTTATAAGAGGCTTCTTATCTCCAAAAGAGAAATGTATCCAGTAGTAACACATCCAGCAAGGTTACGTCCATAAATATTAGATCTTCAGAAATTGATATAGTGTGTGCTTGAAATCCAGCACCACACTGATCCTTTTATTACTGTATTTCATATTCTGCAGCTTCTGAATATGGAGATTTAGGGCAATTTACTTTAGTTTCTGCTTTGACTTGGATATTTAAGTTCTTAAAGTGGATCTTAATTAGGATGTATCCTATTTATTTGTACCTCAATATGGTTTATCATGAAGGGGAGACTATCTAATTTTTGTTAGATATTTGCACTGGTATTACTTTAACTCCAGTCCAAGGGGATAACTGGCAACTAAATCTCAATCTACATACTTTAAAAAAAAAAAAAACAAAGGGGGTTGTGATCTCTCCAGAGATAAATTGTAATTCCAAATCTTTTCACTATTCAGATCCCTTTGCAAAAAGTTGCTTAATTTTTCTGCACCTAAATCAGATAAGATTTCCAAACTCTACCATCTGTGAATTTTGCATTTTAGCACTTGCACTATTACCAGCTACTGCTGCTGAGTAACACTTAAAAATGGTATTCTGGAACTTCCAAAGACTTAAACGGTGGCATCCCTGCAAGGAACCTGATGGTAAGTTTGTCATTAGCATGGCTTTAATTTGTTTAAACTTGTTTAAGTTGAGGATCAGGTATTAGCAGGTTGGCAGCATTGGGTAATCTTTACTATGAATTTTAGTCTCCCCTGACCCTCAAAGAAATTCCTGAAAGTTTTATAGCAGTTTTTAGACTTTATTGGTCATTTTCTCTATATGCTTTTTATATTCTAGTGTTTTAAGTGAGTTAATAAAAGGTATTTTTGTCACCACCTGCGAGCGTTGTCTTGTTCTTTAACAATTTTCATTTCAAGTATGTATTACAATATCATGATTAAATAGACAAAGGATGTTTGTAGAAACAACCAGTTTTTAATAGAATTAGGCTATATTCTTCAGGCTCATTTAGCCAATAAAATAAAATTGCATTTTAGTATAACAGCTTCTGAGCAAACTTTTTAGGGTAACCTGCTAAATCTTTCTTAATCTGACTAGTGGGATTGTACTGTTAAAACTGATGGGATGTTGACAGTTACTTGGGCAGTACTGCTTTAAATATGAGTGAATATGGAGACTGGACCACTACATGACTTAATTACATTTTAGTAATGACTGTAAATGTGAAAACACCTTCAGAATCTTGGTTAAACTATCTCTCTGCTCTGTCTGTCTGTTTTTGTAGAGGCAGGTTATTATAATATCCTTGCAATTGTGATTAAGGGTGTTTATTCTGTTCTTAGTAATGTCTAAACTGGCTCTTAAGAATAGAGCAGAAACATTCTGTCCATACTTTGCCATAGTCTTGCAGAGCTGTCCGGCTGAAGCTGTTGGGATTTCATCAGAGGCAGCAAGCGTCTCAAAGAACTAGTAAAATTTTTGATTTTGACATTTGTATTCTAACTTGAGGGGAATTATTTATGCCTGTGCTAATATAACAAATGCTAAACTGTCTTTCCCACTGTCTCAACAAGTATGTTCTTCTGTTAACTAGATTGGTAATACTATAGGTTTATTACATGTGTATTTTTTAAAAGGATTGTGATCCACAATATTAAGTGGACACAATCAATTTAACACAACTTTCAGATGGAAAGTATTTAACATCTAAGATTGAGTTTTCTGTAATATTTGCTTTTTTAGTTAATGTAAATAAACTAAACAAGGTGCTGCTAAATGCAAAGTTTCCCTTGATCATTTGAGCCTTCCACCTAGCAACAGGTATGGAAAGCAACTTTAAAATAAGATTTGAGTGTAAAACTGATTAGGTTAGTTAGGCAGATATAACACCTGAAAGTACTAATTGACAAAATGAAGTCTATTAAATCAACTTTAAAAATATTACAGAACTGGAATCTGATCTGTTAAATGCCTTAATGTAACAAAAGGAAGAATGTTATTGTTAGTTACTGCACATAAGAAAGTAGACTATTTAAGAATTTTTCAAAATGGTGTTTTCAATCCATGAAATGTAGTTAATCACTTTTGTATATACCCCATATTGGTCAGCAACCCCACAGTCTACGCCCCAGGACACAATACCACCGACAAACCATTTCTTAGTCAGATTATCTAAGAAAGTTAATGGTCCCCCACTGTCACCCTGACAAGAATCTTTTCCCCCTTCTTCCTCCCCAGCACACAACATGTTTTCTGTTAGTATCAGATATTTTCCCTGTGGCAGCTTTGCAAATGCATCTTTACACTTTCTGTTGTCAATAACTACTAATTCAACATACATTAGATGATGGGAAAGCCTTCTTTTCTCAGTTCTTCCCCAGCCAGCTACAGTTCCCATATCATCTGTTTTCACATGGAATCTTTCTTCTTTTCTTGGCAAGCAAATGGGGATAATATTTGCATTAATTGGGACTTTATGTTTCAGTTTAATCAGTGCAATGTCATTGTTATAACTGGTGCCATCGATGTAACCTTCATGTACAAAAATTTCTTCTGCCCAGGCTTGTTGGTAGTGAACTGAACTTTTGTTCAGAAATCCCATTTTGATTGTCAATGTTGATGGGTCTATTTGACGGGCTACGACATGAGCAGCAGTTAAAACCCAATTGTCATACAAGAGGGCGCCACCGCCTGCTCCTCCATCTTCAGCAATTAGCATAACTTGCCAGGGGAACTGTCCAGGCTTTGCCCTTTTCCCTCCAATTATACGTTCCAGAGTTGCCCTGGTTTGTATTCCACAAACTGATAGGAGAGAAGCACATGAAGTGATAAACATTTAGTAAAGATTTGGAGTATGGCAAGTGGTTACTAAGTCTGGCTCAGCTGAAGTCACCAAGTGTAGACATTGCGTCTAACTAGCTAATCAATTTTGGAACAGTGAAATCAGTCGTCATCTGTGACCAGCCTGAAAACCTAGACAAGAGCACAGTTGTAAACTTAAGTTTGCAAATGGGTTGATGCTGTCAAATAACTGATTTAGGAGGTGATTTTCAATGGGACTTGTGGTCCTAGCACACTTATGCACTTCTGAAACTCCCACTTTTAATTTCTTGCACTGTGAGCAGAATACACATAGGGACCATCACTTGAATCCTACTTTTAATTTCTTAAGAATAAAGAAAGAGGCTACATATGAAGTTTGGGCATAAGGAGAAGATGAGGTTCTTCGCGATGTGTGGTCCCTATCTGTATTCCACTGTGGGTTAGGCATGTGCCCGGAGTTAGAGAATTTGAAAGTAGTGTCTGGTCTGCGCATGCGCTCTGGCTCATCTTGTGCCTCTGACCGAGGCAAAAAAGGACAGAGTGGAAGCAAAGGGGAAGGAGTGCAGGTAGTGGATAGGGGGACCACACATCTCTAAGAACTCCAGTTCTAGGTAAGTAATTTCCTCCTCAAGTGATGGTCCCTATTGTATTCCACTGTGGGTGACTGACAAGCAGTACCTAAGTAGGAGGAGGGTGGGAGGATGAGGGCAGTAGGGTTGAATGGAAAACCTCCATCCCAAAGGATGCATCAGCAGCCGAGTCCTGTAGCAGGGTGTAATGCCTTGCAAATGTGGATGGAGCTCCACATGGCTGCTTTACAGATAGCTAGGAGCTCACTAAAGGTTTCAACTTAGAGCATGCAGCAATGAGAAGGAACTGAAGAGGCAGTAGGTCCGCCCCACCCTCTATCGCCTTGGTTGGAAGTGGGAGGTGAGCCGGGGTCAGTGCACAGAGCAGTGGACACTACTTTCAAATTCTCCAACTGCGGGTGCATGGTACACGTGTAATACACACTGGAATACAATAGGGACCATCACTCGAAGAACAGAAGGGAACAAAAATATTTAATGTAAAACTATAGAGGTGAATGAAAATCAATTTTACTGTAAAGGACGCTTAATACCATGTGAAATTACAGAATAGCACAAAACTCAACTTCATGGGTTTTCATGCTCTAAATACCAGCTAATTAGGAAATGTTGCAAAGTCAGTAATTTAATTGCCTAAACATTCAAAATCATGACATTCTGCAGTAAAACTACCTGACAGGCTCATTTTCACTCAAGTCTTTCTGTTTTAGCCTGAAACTCATGCAAACTGGACCAATGTTGAATATACAAACTAATAAATTCTAATTTTATTGTGAAACTTTTGCCTGCCTCTGGTACCAGGCTCAAAAAGTCATCTGCTCTACTGCAAGTTGGGTCAGATAGAATCAGGTATGAGCTTAAGAGGTCCTGAGAATCCACAGCTTCCACTGTCCTTGACATAGGCGGCGAGTTATATAGGCCCATGCTCCACCAAGATTTAAGAAAGTGGGCCTAGCTCCACCAATGTTTGGGCTTACCGTGCTTTCAGGGGGACATGGGGTCCAGGGTGGCCTGGGGAGTTAGCGGGGGACATGGCGCTGGCAGCAGTGAGAGACCTGGCCCAGCCCACCCCTGCTCCGCCCCCATTCCATCCTCCCAGCTTCCACCCCCTCCCGCGAGTGATCCTGGGAGCCAGTGG